AAGTACATACATCCGTACGTAAGTACATACATCCGTACGAACGTAAGAACATACATCCGTACGAACGTAAGAACATACATACGAACGTAAGAATATACATACAAACGTAAGAACATACATACGAACGTAAGAACATACATACGAACATAAGAACATACATACGAACGTAAGAACATACATACGAACGTAAGAACATACATAAGAACATAAGTACATACATATGTATATAAGTACATACATGCATACATATGTATGTATGTACTTGGTGAACCAACCCGTGAACATGCACAGGCCTACCGGCAACGTCCCTGCCTACATGGGGGTACATGTTGTTAGCACGTAGACATCCCCACAAGAAGTGAATTTTCTCATTGTCACTCAGTATCATATACTGGGAAATTGCAAGGAAATGCATACTATAGATTTTGCTTGACCGGGAATCGAACTTTGTATGACATAGCACAAGCTAATTTAAAACATGAAAAACTTTTGCAAATACAGTACATGAAGGTAGAAAACTAAAGTTATATAAGTAATCGAGATGAAAAGATGATTCATAATTACCCATTTCCATCACAAGTGGCAAATCGTCACAGTCTTATGCAATCAATCACTACTACAATTTGTGTAACCATGAACATCTGCAATACTTTTAATAAACAAAAAAAATTTACACGATAGAGGTGAGTGTACACAAGACAGAACGGAACAATAACAAAGACTCAAAGTGAAATTTTAGAGTTGTTTTTAGTAAACAAGTCAAGAGTATGGCTCCGCTATTATAACAACTTTTTTCTAGTTTACCAATTTTTGTTACACTTTTTACAAATTTTTATTTTATAATTTTTGTATTACATCTCTTTTTCCCCAATTTCATATACAGTCAATTCCGATTATAGTGATCTCTGATACAGTGAAGATCATAAATAAAGTCAAAAATCAAAGTCTCCACTGAGGTGAAGGTAGCGACCTGGAATGCTGACCTTACTAATGACTAGGGGGTGAATTTTGATGACCTAAAACACTACCAAAAATGATCAATAAAATGCTCTTAAAATGTTTTTAAAATGCTCTCAAAGCAACAAAAAAGGGCATTAAAAATTTAATAAAAAACAGTTCAGATGAACAACTCAAGGTGTTGAATACATCACTGATGTAATCGAGTTTTCTTCCTTATGTTCAATGGAACTCAGTTTGGTTTGGATTACTCTTCACCAGGAAATCTATCTCTAGTTATCACGAAATAGGCCAAACTGACAATGACACTTTCAGAAATCTTAGATTACACACAATGGCTGACATTACAATATCTGAGTTAAGAAAGAGAATACGCTTCTCAAGAATTCAATTGAGAACGTTTTTTGCATCTCGTAAATATTCTTTGAAGCAAGAACCATTGAAATGATATTAAAATCGTTGAAATCAGCAAAAAATGTACAAAAAGGTACAAAATGTATGGAAAAAGGTACAAAATGGCTTATTAATAGAACTGGATGAAAAAAATGTTATTTAAAACTGGATAATTTCTTCTTTTTACAACAAAACTAAGGTCTATATGAAAAAGTATTGTTCTAAAGTAAAAAGAAAAAAAAAATCCTTTTTATAATTAAAATCTACTCCCTATTGATAACCTTATGGCACTTAGTTTCATTGTGGAAACAAAGACCATGTCCTGCATGAGCTACAACTGGCGAGGGTCATGTGCGATAGCTTGTTTCAATTTCCAAGGTTGATGTTACATTCTGCGGAACAAAAAGTGTTGTGTTCATGTAGATGATACGAAGTGAATGACTGCCACAGCCCCCCTACCTGGTAGTACATCCCCCTCCCCCCGTGTATTCAGATTCATTACCTGTTTGCGTCATCCTGCTATCAAAAGACTCTCGTATGTTATTAGGTGAGTAGAAGGCCCTTCGAAGAGAGGGAGGTGTTCCAACAGTGGAAGAGGCATTGAAGGCTGTCAAGACTGCATTATGATACATTGAAGTAAGTGGACAATGCAGTATCAAGTATGGAGAGAGCACAAACTCTAGAGAAGTTACTAGGAAGGATCTAGAGAAATTACTGACAAAAAATATATGAAGCAAACAATTTAAATAATTGATTAAAGACAAATAAAGATATTGAAATTTTTAGTCCATGCTGTTAATGTATTTTGTTGTATCTCTATATCAACAAAATCTATCATTGTGGATAAATTCTATTGAATTTTGACATCAGATTTAGTGAACCTCTAATAAAGTGAACCAAAAATGTTAAGGCTCAGAAGTTCACTATAACCTGCACCTTCAATTTCACTGCTAGTTACTCACAAAAAATTACTCCTGAAATAGTATGTTACCGCTCCATTGTAAAATTACAACTAGATATATACTGAAAAAAATACATACCTCTGGAGTCATTTCTTTTGACTGGTCAAATTGAATCATATTTTCCTGAGCAATGTAGGAAAATACATCATTTGCTATATCTGTACACAAACTTTTCAGAAGATACTTGCTGAGCTGTTGTTGTAATTCATTGTCAGAAAAAACTTTGATTCCTTTGTCAAACATGCGCACATTTGAAACCAATGCATTCAATTTTTCCTGTAATTCACTATGTGTCTTTCGCCTTGTTTGTGCTGTTGATGCCATTGTACTTTCAAAAACTACTTTAGCTTCAGCGAGAGCAATTTTGTTTAAGGCACTGCAACAAATATTGTATGTTTATCAAACCTGAAGTCATTACCTAAAAGGGGCTAAAAATATTTTAGTCCATCTAGGGAATTTAAAACATAAAAAGTTACCACAAATATTCATGTCAAAACACTAATGCTTGTGTGCATAAGACAAGTATTGTTCCAGTTATAGAAGAAACACTTCTTTTAAAAATGCAGAACAAAAACGTTTAAGAAAGTATTGAATTTATACTCACGGATAAATTTGTTTTGCTATTTCTTCTACAAGTTCCTCACATTCTTCATTTTGAAAAACTTCATTTCCTGCTAACAAATTGTGAATTACAGAAAAAGAGAGTAACTCTAATTTGCCAGCAGATTGTTTAGAGGTTTTGTTTCCAGATGCAGCAGAGGAATCTCTATCATCATCACTATCCCAGTCATCTGCACCACCTTTTCCACGCAAATATTTCTTCTTTGTTGATTTAGTTTTAGTTTCACGCCCCTGCAATAAGTATGCAGCATTAGTGCATAATCCTAGGAGTTTGATTGTGTTATCGAAAGAGGTACTCTATGTAAAAAAGAAAAATTAAATTATTGTCCTAGATTAAACATTGCTGTACCCATATGTTGTGGAAAGTTTCAGTCACTGTAGAATACAGAAAGTGTGAGTAACAACACACACTCACTTGTAAAAACACAGTTGCTCAGTCCCCTCCTTCACCCTACATGCACACTCTCATTTTCATTCTTTCTCTGGGCAGACAGACCCATCAGCAAAAACCTGTGCTAAAGAATTTTGATGTTGACTGTGCTTTAAGGTTTTGTCATCTGAATGCTCAATCTATAGTTAATTCTGGTCATTTCTCTGTTTTTCCAGAAGTTTCTTTTTTTAATATTTTCATATAATGGCTATTTCTGAAACATGCTAAAGGATTATGTTCACTCAAGTATGGTCTCACTACCATCCTACAATTTGTTGCGATATGATAGGCTGCACAGGACTGGCGGTGAAGTCTTGCCTCTTGTCATAGTTCGGTTCAGTCACGCAAGTTGCTGAAGGTCTCAAGTGTGAATGACACCATATGCTGAGTACATGATGTGTGAAATTAGATAAGCTGGAACAATATTCTTGGTATTAGTTGTTTATCCTCCACCTAAAACTGGCTTTCTCTACAAGTTTTATCCAATATCAGGATCTGCCACACTTATATCCATGTACTGTTTTATTGGGCGACTTTAACATTGATTTATTGAAGGTCAGTTGGAAATACCATATGCTCACGAAATTTCTGAAGGCGCTTGATCTTCAAATTTTAATCACTGCTACTTCTCACTACACCCAAACTTCTATGACTATGCTTGAACTATGTATCATGTCCTTCCCAGGAAAAAACCTTTTTGTCAGCCAACTTATATCCCTTGATATCAATGTATCCAGGCCATTGCGTCCTGGGGTGAAGCCTGGTTATCTCAATCTCTCTGCTATTGATGCTGAGTTGTTAGAGCGTACCTTTCAACATAGACTGCCTTGTGTATCTGATGTTTTGATGATCTTGAGCTCAGAGTTGGGCAGTATCAAAAATATATGTATTTTCAATGGTAATTTGTATTTTGTATAAAAAATACAAAGTTGATCATTTATTTTGTATTTGTATCGAAAATCCTTTCTGATAGAATTTTATATTTTCAAAATACAACAATATTTTTTATTGATCTCCCATTGAAAGTTTGAATTTTAATATACAGTCACATCTGGATAACATAACAAGGTTGACAACATGAATTTTTGATATTTTGAAGCAAGTAAGTTGAAGAAAATTTAATGGCGAAGGGATTTCAAAATTTCGATTAACATATTTTGGAGACCACTACATGGATGTTATATTATATTGTCACATACATCACTTACTATCTGGAAAGGAATTGGGTGCACTGGTTAAAAGTTAATTAAACAGCCAATCTTACGATATATTAAGTGACTAAACTGATAAACCATCAAAATGTCATATTCTAGATGGAACATATTTCACTGTTATTGAAGGGTTAAGTACAAAACAGAAAGTGACATGTGAAATTTGTAAGCCTGACAGTCAAAAATAAGAGGTTTCTACAATGCGACCACAAATTTTAAGATGATGATGATGATGATGATGATGATGATGATGATGATGATGATAAATAATAATAATATAATAATAATAATAATAATAATAATAATAATAATAATAATAATGTCTTTATTAATGGCGAGGCACAGGCCATAGGGCCTGCTCTTCTGCCTAACCACTGAATTTACATACATTTAGAGTAGTAACATTTTATGAGGGGAAGACAAGCTGTACATTTACATCTGGGAGAACAAACCTAGGGACCATCCCAGCATACACCTTAAGCGATTGAGTAAACCCAGAAAAACCTCAATCAGGATGGCGGCTTAGGGCCAAACATTAATAGAACTCAAGATACACAACTTCAAGATACACTTGAAGCAAATAATAAGTAATATTATAAATTTTAAATGCACAAAATGATGTACAATAGACAGACTCTCACTGGACATTCTTTTGACTATGAAACCAATCATTTTGTTACACATTTCAGATAATTCATCCTAGTGTGATAAGTGGATTTGCGAACTATACAAATGATTGGTCTAGAACAGTGTTGCCCAACTGGCAGCCTGCGAAAGGTCATTAGTCGATAGTGGAAGTCCCTTGCATCCAAGAAGGCGAGAACATTGTGCGCCTAGCGCACGAGCCAAGTCGGAATCAACATCTAAATGTAACTAGTGGTGCTAAAATAGCACATACTCACTCGCCCATATTTTCACGCAACATTACGCGAAAAGTACTGAGTTTTTGGAAAAAATTATAATGTGTTAAAATTAAATTTGTTTAAATTTGTTTGGTTAAAATTTGGTTAATTTGTTTGGTTAAAATTAAATGTGAACTCACTTCAAAATCTATCTTAGATTCCATTAAGGGGAAAAATATATATTCTCATAGCTGTAGACCCATTTCGGGGCGACCTCGGAAGGCTTTGATGGAAGTATTTTGTATCTGAAATATTTTTTTAACAAAAGGAGAGGGGTGGATTGAAAGGACTGGAAGGCCCTTCTATCTACCATAGCCCGCTAGTATGGGTACTTTAAGCATACTAGCGGGCTATGTCCCTACAAAGTAAATTTTACGCCATGAGCTGTCCGGGGGGGAGGGGGTTGGTTAAGCGAGAAAGGGGAGGTTAACTAAAATAGAAATAATTTGCATTGCACATACTATTTATAATGACCAAGTTTCTACACTACTTTAAATGATAGGATGAAACATGAGTGAAACAAATGAAATATCGTGATTATACAATGAATTAAAAATGGCTAACTGTATACATTAAGTTCAATTACTGACGACACTTCCATGGGCACACGGCATTGCCGAATACCTGGTACTTGGTCGCTGCGGCCCGAATGCGGGCGACCCACACAGTTCGCCAATTAGAGAGAGTGTCTGTCGTCCGCTGCGTGACCACGGAACTTGCCCTAGTTTAGACTGGCAGTAGGCATGTGCTTGCGGCACACACGGCCTCTCGCCACCGGCGACTGACGGTGTGAGCAGGGCCAGCCCGTACCGCCGTGTAGATCCAGCTCAAGGCAGATTCACTGCGACTACATACGGCGACAACCCGTTGTTACAAGCGACAGAGGTCACGTAGGCCATAGTAGCGAAGCCACCCCCTTCCATGACCGCTGACTCCTTGAAGCACCCTGACGAAAGCACTACTAGTGATCTCCAAGGACGTCCCCTTGAAGAGAAACCGTTCACCCCAGCGGAACAATGAACTCAGCTGCTGCTGCTACTTCGGTGACATGTATTTGAGCTTGGCTATAAGCTCTCACCTGCCCTCAGGCGTCAAAGGAAAACGGACTTTTGAATTTAAATCTTCATTTCTCAATTTTTTTTTTTTGTTGTTTTTGAAAAGGAAGGAAAGATTCTCAGTCGCGCTTTGCCTCTTAAAGAAAGAATCAGCGAAAAATCTTGTAATTTTAAATGTAAGAATTTACTTAGTTTTTGGTTTTAATTGTGGGGAAAATCCAAAGTGCTCGCATGCCTATTTATTATTATTATTATTATTATTATTATTATTATTATTATTATTATTGAAAATTTTCATTCTTGGATCATTAAACTTTGTTAACCTCATTTCTATTTTTTTTTATTTCAATCAAAGCAACGTCTACCCGCCATCCCTTTTTTCAGGCCACCTTTCTACCTTCCGTGGCAGCTGAAAGATAAGGTGACGCACCTTTCCCGTAGTCGCAAAGGATGACTATGTGGCAATTAGCTTGCCTGTCCGAGGGGCGCGATTTTGTATCTTTCGATATCCCAGATACGCGCCCCGAGATTTCTCATTTTCAAAATTAAAATTCTCTTTAAATTGTCATTTTGGGTCGAATATGATCAGTTAAATTATAATAATGGATGGAAGGACGTTGTTATGAGGTTAATTTATGGACTGTTGAGGATGTAATTCCATACTGTATTTTCATTGTATGCATGTATCAGGAAAAGTGAAATCGCAAAAAATGAAATCTTCAAAATGCTCGACGAATCTGGTATTGACGTCCCGGATGACAATAGTTCCGGGGACCAGTCGACGCAAGAAACCACCTTAACTGAGGTTCTGCGGATGTTAAAGCAAATGTTAGATGAGATGCGCAAAATCTCCGCAGAATTATCCAAAGAAGCACGGAAAAACAATGATAAAAATGCTGAAAACTTCGCACAATTATCGAAAGAGGCGTCCAAAAATAAGGACAGTATCGCTGAAATCTATCAGAATATTGTAGAAAGTACTAGCTTTCAAACACAGAGATGGACGAGAAATTAAATGAACGGTGAATGAACACACGAGAATAAATGCCAAGAAATATACGACCGCCTAGGTAATTGCCTAGAAATTCACGCAACGAAATTAAGGAAGTTAGAGAAAAAATTAGATTATGAAATTGGAGTTTTAAAGAACCAGGTTGAGGGTAGGTGTGGTGAAATAGAAGGGAATGTGGAGAAATTAAATCAATTGGGAATTCAAGGGCCGAAACAACTGAAAATTTTAGTTTTGAAATCAGAGGTCAACATGAAACTGCAGGCGTGCGACAAAAAGTTAAAAAAAATGTAGCGAATCTGTTCATAACAAAATTACTGATGTTAAGCAGATGTGCGAAAGATCACCAAAATTGGGTAGAAACTCCACTCTGAAGTTTCCCAAATCCATGATCAATTCGTTCAACTCGGGAGTGTAAGTGAACATTCGGGAAAGGGAAATGAAACTGAAAAAGGAAATAGATCGTAACGTAGTTGAACTCGTTAAAAAGGAACTTGAGAAAAAACGGGAAAACAACCCGATTAGGTCTCGGCTTTTCGTGGGCTCCGCCACAGAACTTGTGTTTTTCGGGGAATCTCGACGAGTTCATGCAGGAGCTTTTGCGGGGTAACGCGGCACATTGGTTGACGGCTTTAACCCATTTCCCACAGTGAGGAGTTACGTACCAAATTTTAACTGAGCATAAAAGATACGATTTCTTTTTTTTAATTTTATTTTCTGCATAATTTACAATCTGTTCCTATTGGAACAATAAGCAAATGGTGTCAACAGATACATTTCCGACGAGAACAATTTATGACAATGAAAGATTTCATTTACAAAATCGGTATGGCAGATCTAAAATACTCTCTCTTCTCAGTCTATACACATGCTCACTGTTATCTAGAAGGCTTGTTGAGAGGTGATTTGGGTGGTTGTACAATCTTCTCTGGTATGTTATGCTCTTCGTGGCGATTACTTCCTCCAGCGGGACGATGTCTAGGTCTCTGTATATCGTCTTGTTTGTCACGTACCATGGTGCGTTGCATAGTTTCCTTAGTGTTTTAGCTTCGAATCTTTTTAAAATTTCTAGATTCGATTTACTGGAAGAGCCCCACAATTCAATACCATAGGTCCATGTTGGTTTGATTATAGTTTTATAAATCTGTATTTTGTTATGCAAGGGCAGCTTTGATTGTCTGTTTATTAGCCATGACAATTTGAGGACTTTAAGCTGCGCTTCTTTTCTCTTTGTTTTGATGTGGGTTTTCCAAGTCAGGCGTCTATCCAAATGCAGGCCAAGATATTTGATAGTATCAGCGTCGTGGAGTTCTGTGTTGTTTAGTTTTACTTTTGGGCTTCTTTTCTTAGTGAAAATGTTATATGTTTTGATTTTGTTTCATTTACGGTGACTCGCAAACGATGACTCCAATCTTCGATTTTGTTTAGATGTTCTTGAAGATGTTGTGATGCGCAGGAGGGGTCTTCATTTGCAGAAAGAATAGCTGTGTCGTCCGCAAAGGTGGCTATTGTAGTTCTTTCTGTTGTTGGTAAGTCTGAAGTTGATATAAGATATAAAAAAGGTCCAAGAATACTTCCTTGTGGCACTCCTGCTGATACGAATTCGAACGGAAAATTCTTGAATCTTGATGGTAAAAAAGAAACAACCAGTCGTATTTAGACCACACCATGGAGAAAAATCACTGTATTAAATTTTGCGACCCTTAGGTGAATGGCCGCAATGTTATTTCGCTATTAGCTGCTCGTTTCTTCACTTATGTCCAAAATCGACTTGGACCTCTACCAAAAATTGCTCGCGCAATTTGGTACGACGCGAAACAGTTATTACGAAGAAAATCGCGGCAGGGACTCTATATATTCACCTGAAGGGAACAACCAAGGTAGACTGCCGTGCATCGTGATGACAGAAACCAAGGGAACAGCGCAAATGACCCCGACCGCCGCCTAATACCGGTGAAAACCAAGTGAAGGATTGGACAACAAAATTCTTCCAGGCCGTGTCCGACAAGCTAAGCCCGTCAAAGCTGTCTGGGTATCTGGGCTACAGACGAAATTTATTCAGAGATACAATTTTTCGTGGTTGTTTCGATAAATTACGCATATGATGATGATACGACTGTCAGAGAATGCGCCAGAAAATGCCCTGCTGTAGAGTTCCTCATTGGGAATTTTTTTGTGCCCATGCTCTAATTGATACTGGAAGCGAAATTAGCGCAGTTTCAAAGAAATTTTATTCCCAACTGTTGAGCGAGCTATTTCGATACTAACTTTGCCCATCGTCAAATGTTATGTTGTAGGAATAGGAAAAAAAGAAAAGTAAGCCGATTTCCATGCAGGCTTCAATTTCAATAAAAAATATGGGAAATTCTGTTTAATGTGCCTTGTCTAATAATTGATCTTAACAGTGATGCTATCCTTGGGATTGATTTTTTAAGAGAAAACGGCGGAATTGCAGGCGATTTGAGAACTCTCTAGAACATTTATATATTTTTGAACATAATTTTAACTTCCCAAGACATTTCACTGCTTCTGTTAAAGAGACAGTTTCAATGTTTTCTTATTTTTTTTTTTCCCTATTATTTTGTGATGTAGTCAAAGATTCAGCAACATCACACTCTGTGAGGCTGTGACTTGTTTCAGTCTCAGCATCAATACTGACAATCATCAAATATTACAGATGATGGAAGTTCTTATTTCTTTGCAATTTGTTCCCTCACAGCACATAGATTTTTACAAGCCTCAATCTCTGCTGAAGCATTGTCTCACAAATCCAAAATTCCTGACATTTTCCAACAATGCTGCAGTACAAAAATGCAGACAGAGGAAGGAATTCAATATTGATAATTTCCAACCTGCAATTTACTTTATGAGGACAACAATAATCTACCATCAACAAGATTTTTCTTTTGTTTTCCAATATCTTTGTCCACTTGAAGAAGCTAGACAGCAACAAGTTCTTTGGTCATCCCGGGTTTCTTGTAGCCTGTTTATTTTTCTTGCAGAGATTCACACTTCTTTTGAATCATCTAGGCTTTATGCAAAGTCCTACAACAATAGGCATTACTTTTTCAGTACCAGTTAATGCTGTTAATCTTTATTTTGGCTGTTTTCTTCCCTACCTAGTAAGACATTGTTTTATTTGGGAACATGCAATAAAAAAAAATGCTTTTTCATATGCATTGAAAATATCTTTACGATCATTCCTTTGAATTTGATTTTTCTGATGATGTTCCATCCAATCTCAAGCAATGTTCACGTCAGCATCTTCAGTTTCTCCAATAACAGCCTTGTAAGTTAATTCGTATCGCTTGTGAAAACGAAACAGCCAGCCAGTATGTGCTTGAAAATCCCTAACATTCATTAGTTGCAAATTGTCTTGTTTTCTCATGTATCATTGGACCATAAACAGGAACCCCACTAGATCGAACTTCCTTAAACCATGTCTCTACCGCTTCTTCCACTTTATGAAACATCCCCTAAACGAATCTTCAAGGCACATCATTGATTGTTCATACACTTTTAGAATTTTTTGCTTTGCTTTTTAAGTTTGTTGAAACTGAAGTTGGATTTGTGTCATACACACATGCTACGTCAATCTGCTTCATTCCACTATTTTTTTTAATTACCTCCATTTTCTGTTTTATTATGAACTGTCTACTTTTCTTACTTTTCATTGCAATCAAATTGGGACTTTTTTTTTAATGAATACCACTATTAACCACCACAAAATGCCCCTAGAAAACTTTAACCACCACAACATGTGATTTAGCAATTAGAGCTTATGCCATCATTAAAAAGACATGAAATGAATTTCCAGAATATCACAAAATTCGACAATGAAAAAGTTGGGATTCTCCATCACACGATCCGAAAACGAATACTACTGCTTCTATCTGTTCTGCTTACAGCATACTAGGTCTTGTCTTCTCAAATTAGAATTATATGTAGTATAGTATAAATATATTATCCATTGCACAAAGCATACAATGGACATAATCTTCTAGGAAGTTATGGGAGCCCTGTGTCTTTGGGATTTATCATCTGCCTTGTGCAGTTTCTACGCCACAGTAATGCTGATGCCACTGTTATTACTATTATCACTACCAGGTTTCAGTAGAGTTTGTAAAAGTGAAATATCTTAACATTGAAACATAAAACATTAAGAAAGGAATTTCCAATACGCATGTAAAATTGAAATGTACCTAATACTGGATTCCGTTATACTATGTTTTCACTGTTGTAGGCTATGGTTTATTATAATAATAGTATTGTAATAATATTTAGTACAAAACTAATCTCAATTTTGTTAAATTTAACTTCAGATAACCAAAGAAGAAAAGTATAATAAGTGGATTATTTTCGTAGGGGGCTACTGACACTATCACCTGAATAACATAATTCACAATTTGTATGTATATTTGTGTTATAATTGTAAGTATCTATAATAAACATGAAAATAATTGTCTCAATATTTTATCAAATGTAATTTTGTCTAATGAAATGTGAACAAATGTATAATCTCAAGTGATGTATTTGTACAAAGATTACCTATTCACAAAACCAAAATGAGAATCACATTAATTTACAGCTTACATTTGTGCATGAAAACTGCCAAAAAGGCCAAATGTGACTTCCACATCATGCCAAACAAAAATGTTAGTCCAAGTTAACCCATAATTGTTTTATTTCTTGAACCCATATTTTGCCCAACCCCTACAAGTAGAGAATCCTCAAACGACACATCATCACAAGCATGGATCTAGGGTGCTGAGCTATCAAAGATACCAAATGCTTGTAAAATATTATTATTTCACAATTAAATATTCAAGTTACTATTTAACAAACACATATCATGTACCACCATGTAAAAAATAATTGACTGGGTGTTCAAAAATTTTACTTTACCTATAAGTACTGACACTGAAATCAATCATTAATTGTATACAGAATTCAAATTTGCATTTTACTACAATGCTAAATGCACGGGCAACACCTAAGTGCTATTGCAAGAGGTACGAAGTTCACTGGGCTTTGGTGATATTTCATACAGTTCTCAAATATCCACTCACTCTTTTACTATGCCTCTGGGCATTTTTAAATTTTCTATTTGCAGTACTCTTATTATTTATGAATATGGGTTCTTGGGATTTTAATTAACATAAGCATGAATACACACCTGAGTACCTCCTCCACCCTTTCCACCAGTTGCTTTCTTCCGTCTTTCTTCTTTTTTGTCTATTTTGGAATCTTCATGATCCACACTCATTTTACTACTGTGAATTTTCATTTCTGCTTGAGAAGAAATATAGGCACCTGAAGAAACAGCCTGAGCAAAATAAAAAACATTTCTTTTGTAATGTTGCACTATTATATTGACTTAACAAATTTGAGGAACAAAACACCATTCGAAAGAGCCACTGTCTGTTATAGCTATTAACATGCCTAGAAATGTTACGAGTTTTATTCATGCAAGGCCAAAAGTTAAAAATAGAGTTGGAGCTTAGCAGAACTAAGATTTTTAATTTCAACGAGGCAGTAATAACACTAACATTTTGTGGTATGTACATCATATTATCAGTTACAGTAAAATTTCATGGGTTATGTAAAAATGTACATTACTATGACAGTAAACAAATTAATTCAGTTGCTGCAGCACATTAGTACATTGAATTGAATTGATGCATTTCGAGACATGGCAAGTCTCAGGCCATGAGGCCTCCTCTTCCGTCTGACCATGCAAATTTTGCTACGCTCCTTTCACCAAGTAGCAAAAAAGGAGGTAATTCTTGGGCGATAAAACAGGCAATTTGAATTTAGCTCAGAGGCTTCATTTAAGCTTGAGGATCTTTTACATGCAGTAAATCTACTAACATGGGACAGCCAGCTTTTCTTCCTCTGAAGAAAGGCATATGAAGGATTTTTTCGCCCTCAAAAATCCATGGCTTTGAACCCACCAACTTGGGTATAACTGTCCAATTCGCTGTTACACCATTGCCGCCAAAATTGTGGTTTGTCTATTTAACATATCTATTTAAACAATATTCATATACCATGGTTCAAGAAAAAAAAAAATGCAAATAATTTCCTGAACTTAAAGATATCTAAAGAAATGACTTATGGTGAGAAAGTTGGCATGTCGACTTCCAGTGGTCACATGTTCACATTAGTAACTATGATTACCGCAAAAGTTTTTCATGTGGTGGAAAGTAAGGAAAATGATGTTCAATTATCAAATATACATTTTTCTAAATGTACTATTAACACAATAACATTACAATTAACAATAATTTTCCCCGAAACTAATATGAGTGACTTTTATTCTGAATTCTTTGAATCTGATTTGTCTTGTGATTCAACATTTTTATTCTTAATAAACAGTTGACATGCAATGAAGCATTGATTGTTTATTTACGTTGCTAAGGATGTAGAATTTCTTAACATATAAGTAGATGCAAGTACACTTAACAAACATGAAGGATTGCACGTTAACAGGGGTTACAGACGCATATGACCAAACAAGGATTTAAGTCTGCTGTCTGTTAAGAGTAATTGAAACAAACGAGTTGTAACTAAAATGGCTTGTACAAATACTCTTATTCTAAGCAATATTATTTCTTGTTTATGTGATTTTTTCTTATACAAAATGGTATTACAAAAATTATTGAATGGAACATGGCCAATAACCCAATTAACAGTCAAGTAGGCTATAAACCTGGGCTATTGTCTTGGTTTACAAAATTCGATCATGCCTTATTTACTATTTGTGTCCTTGTCCTAATGGTGTTAATATGAAAAGACAATAAATAAATTAAACACAGCACAAATATATACCTCTTGAGCCTTTTGCTTGATAAGTGGATCAAAACCCTTGATCAGATTCTGTATAAGAAGATCAGGAACAACATAAGTGTCACAGAAAACATTAACATTCTGTACAGGATTTTTTGTTTTCATAATCTTCAGTACTTCATTAACAATTCTAGTGCAGTCCTCAGCTTCAAACATGGAAGGTAAATGGGTCTAAAGAAACAGAAAAAAATACAAATTTAATTAAAATACTAAAGCAATATTACTAAAATATATTCACTTCCTATATCTATATCTATCTATCTATATATTAATATATCTGTAACTCTATATTAATATAATTTATCAGTGAAGATAAGAACAATAATTTCCTATCAGTAAAAATAAGAACAATTAGAGTTTACTTTGAGAAATGCTTCCATACCATAAATAATTGTTGTTACTATAATAATAATAATAATAATAATAATAATAACAATAATAATAATAACAATAACAATAATAATAACAACAATAACAATAATAATAACAACAATAATAATAACAATAATAATAACAACAACAATAATAATAATAATAATAACATCAACTTTTTTTTTTGTGAGGACTGATGGATACAGAGGCTATACCTGGTGTGTTGGACCCTTCCCCACTAACAAAATCATGTTTTCCTGTGCACATGCCTGTCTCCATGGAAACCATTGTGAGATATTACTTCATGAAAAGACGTGTGGATACAACCTCAATTTTATTATGGAGCCTTTCTCCTTTTCTTTTCATGATGAAAGATAAATTCCACCTTGTTTGATGGGGGAGATATCCACATCCAAGCAGGACCTTAGCTACCTATTAGGCTGCCAAAACAAAACTGTTCTTATTACCTCATAATGTGCTTATTGATAATTAATTTTTCAATTCCCAATTACCGCGTTCACGTATGTTTTGTGGCTTGAACTTCCCGCTCAATTGGGAACTTACTCATCATAGGAGGAAGGCTCTAGCATTCAGAGCCTTCAATGCATGCATATTGTGCGAATTAGGCAACACTTGCCTCTGGCAGGTATCAGCTGTTCACAGTTTCTTCCAATTGGGAGCTACAACATCACAATAGTGACGTTTAAGCCCCCCGTTGGATGAAACTGTAAACAGCTGATACCTGCCAGGGGTAGAGGCGTGAAACGCGAAGTTTAGTATGCGTGTTCGCAAGACGCAGATACGCTGCTTCTGCAGTCGGATACAACATGCCAAAGGCCAGCCTTCGGAACTTGTTCATGGGGGGGCTCATACTCCAATAACACGACAGGACCACACATTTACACCAACTCAACTTATTGGAAAGGCTATATATGAACAAGGAGCAGGCAATCCTCTCACTTGCGAAACTCCATACCAACCTCAGGGAAGTCTATGAATACGTAGATTACATTACTAGTGAAGTAGACTGGTACAGGTTGTACGCAACCCTGAAGGCTGGACGGATGTAACGAGAAAGAGTAGGCCTCATTACGCGCGATCCCAGTCCACCGCCCATTACTGATCACACTTCGCACCACTTTGCCACTGGCAACAGGTTTTCCATCTTCAACAATCACTGCTCCTTTCCTCCACTAACAACTATTCTATGTATCTATAAAATCAATGATTACTGTAACTCTAAATATAGAAGTTCATAAGTAGACAAAAAAGAAAAAGAAATTGCATGTACCCCCCCTGCCCCCCAACATGTTGAATACAAAAGACCGACCAAACCGAGGCGCGAATCTCTTATGAAGACTTTTTTTTCCTTTTTTCCTTTCTTTCTTTTATATTATTATTGTTTTTAACTTTAGTCTTCTGACACTACCATCTATAAAATATTTTAGCATTTCATTGTATTTAGTACAAGAATTGAATTTTCATTTTTATCTTACATTTAATTTTCAGAAATACCTGTATTGTACATTTTATGATTGTGGACATATCCTAACTAGTCATACATGAATTATGCTGCATTTATGTGACATTTATTATTATTATTATTATTATTATTATTATTATTATTATTATTATTATTATTATTATTATTATCATTATTATTAATATTAATATTATTATTATACTGCGATTTTCGAATCTCAGCCCCTGGAGGTATCAGCTGTTGTCAGTTTCATCCAATCGGGAGCATGAACGTCACTATTGTGGTCTCTAGTGGTCCACCGTTTCCTGTCACCTCTTTCAAAGTCTTCAGTTTTCAACAAGAGGTTGTACAGCGATTTATGTAACTCTGTCCCTGGCAGGTATCAGCAGTTGACGGTTTCTTTGCAGACATCAGCAGTTGATTGTTACTTAGGTACTCCAAATAATAAAATCGTAGTTAATTGCAACACCCCTCTAAAAGTAAGGTGATACTTTTAAGAGAGTTCTTGAAGAACGCTTGGATGCTTTTAGATAATTTATTTATTGTGAGAACTATCTAGCTCATCATTTCTAAAACACAACATTTACTTCAACAATCCGTATAGCTTCTGACATAGCTTGTTCGATTCTTGTTATTCTAATTCTTAAAATTTGATGGTAGCAACTAAAGTTTAACTAAACAGTTCAGCTCTTTATTCTATGCCATGATTTTGTTTAAATTTCCATCAACTATCCCTACATCATACCGCCCGTAATAATTTCTTGATAATAAGAGAAAATGAAAGCAATAGAGTCAGTTTCTTTTTACACAACCAATCAATCACGGGTTTGTGCTACACCTCGCGCGCGCGTGTGTGTGCGTGTGTGTGTGTGTGCGTGTGCGTGTGTATGTGTGTGTGCGTGTGTATGTGTGTGTGCGTGTGTGTGTGCGTGTGTGTGCGCGCGCGCGCGCGTGTGTGCGTGTGTGTGTGTGTGCGCGCGCGTGTGTGCGTGTGTATGTGTGTGTGCGTGTGTGTGTGTGTGTGTGTGCGCGCGCGTGTGCGTGTGTGTGTGCGTGTGTGTGTGTGTGCGTGCGTCTTTTTTTAAGACGCGGGGGAATGCATTTACGCACCTCACACCAGACTCTCATATCCGGGCCGATTCGATGTTGCGGACTCCATCCGGAGATCAATTAACCCCTAAAACCCTACGTCCCTCGCGCCAACCTACGAACCGTTAGGTGAGGTGGCGGGGCTATTCTGGCCCTCCTGCCTTACGCCTTTATTGGTTTCTACTTCTCGCACGCTCTTCAATTCTGAGGCGTCGCATGACCAGGGCAGCGTACGTTGCAATTGCGGCCCATTTCTCTGCCGTAGTCATCATCCGTTGTATGGTGTTCTCCGGTGTCAGGCGTTGTTGTAGGATTTCCTGCAGCTGGTTTCGTTCTCCTGAGAATCGCAGGCAGTTATACACCACGTCCTCCTCCTGTCCAGGGCAAGCTGGACACGTCGGGTAGTCATCGAGCTTAAATCGGCGCAGGCACGCTCTAAAGCATCCATGCCCCGTCAGCAACTGAGTCACGAAGAAGTCCACTTCTCTGTGAACCCTCGACGCCCACTCGTTGATCCGTGGGATAAGACGGTGGGTCCACCTGCCGTTCAGCTTTGCGTCCCAGCGGTTTTGCCAGTCTCTTCGTTTCCATCTTCTCTTCTTCCAGCGCAGCGAGGGCTTCTGTTCGTTCTTTTCTGCCTGTTCGTCGTCTGGAGTGCCCTCTGATAAACGGGATACTTCGGGCCGCCAGAGGTGTGGCTGGATTCAGACTTCGCAGAGCATAACATGCAGTTCGGGTCCTTTTCGCAGGTCTTCGCCTTGCGGCAAAGCTTGGTTTGGTCAGGTCCCTTGCAGGAACTGGCACGGTGACCGAAGTTCCAGCATCGGTAGCATCGTAACGGCGTAGCCTTAATTCGGATATGGCTTACCACCCAACCAATTCGAATTTTCCCGATCGTTGCAGCCCTCCTAGCCAGAACCGTTGGTAGGCAGACCACCGCCACCTGCGTACCTCTGAAGCTAGGCCGTAGTGCTTTCACCGCTGTCTGATCAGTTTTGTCTCCAGCTGCTTTTCCAGCGCGGCGCAGATCTCCTCCCTGGTTGCGAGCTCATCGAGGTCTTCGCAGCTGTTTCCTCCCTCAGTGTTAACTTGTTGCGGCATCACCCAGTGTCTGATATGGCATATAATGAGACAGACGAGACAGAGAGAGAGAGAGAGAGAGAGAGAGAACACAGGAGAGAGCACGAGAGACAGAGGAGACACAGAGAAGTTAGAGACAGAGAGAGACACAGAGAGGACACAGAAGAGAAGACAGTAGAGAGACAGAGAGAGAGACGAGAGCAGAGAGAGACAAGAGAGAAGAGACAAGAGAGAGACAGAGAGAGAGACAAAGAGAGAGAAGAGACAGAGAGAGAGACAGAGAGAAGGACAGAGAGAGGAGAAGAGAGACAGAGAGAGAGACATTAGAGCAGAGGAGACAGAGAGAGCGACAAGAGAGAGAGAGCAGAGAGAGAGACAGAGAGAGAGACAGAGAGAGAGAGAAGAAGAGAGACAGAGAGAGAGAGACAGGAGAGAGAAGGAGAAGAGAGAGAGAGACAGAAGAGAGAGACAGACGAGAGAGAGAGACAGAGAGAGTAGAGAGAGACAGGAGAGAGACAGAGAGAGACAGGAGACAGAGAGACAGAGAGAGACGACAGAAGAGACCGAGAGACAGAGAGAGAGACAGAGAGAGACAGAGACAGAGAGAGGAACCAGAAGACGACAGAGACGAGAAGAGACGAGAGAGAGACGGAAGAGAACAGGAGAGAGAGAGGACAGGAGAGAGAGACAGAGGAGAAGAGAGAAGAGAGACAAGAGGCGAGAGAGAAGACCAGGAGAGACAGAGACAAGAGAGACGACAGAGGAGAGAGCAGAAGACGAGCGGAGAGAGAGACAGAGAGAGAGACAAAAAGAGGCAGAGAGAGAAGACGAAGAGAGAGAAAGAGAGAGAGACAGAGAGAGGAGACGAGACGAGAAGAGGAGAGAGACAGAGAGAGAGAGACACGAGAAGAAGAGACCGAACAAGAGAGAGACGGAGAGGAGAGAGAGACGGAGGTTGAAGAGAGAGACAAGAGAGAGAGACAGAGAGAGAGAGAGACAGAGAGAGAGACAGAGAGAGAGAGACAGGAGAAGCAGAGAGAGACGAGAGAGAGATAGGACAGAGAGAGAGAGACAGAGAGAGAGAGAGACAGAGAGAGAGACAGAGACAGAGAGAGAGAGACAGAGAGAACTTGGAAGAGGTCCTCTTCTGAGAATTTATGAACATGTTCCACCATTTCCACAAGTTCATCGAAAGCATCAACTTCAGATTAAAGCCAAAACACAATAGGATCTGCTTTTTCCCAGATTCCTGCCCAAAATGTTTTGATAATCTTTTCTCATACACTTCAATTACCATTCCAAAAATTATTAAACAATCAAAGCATGAAAATACATATATTTTTAATTAAAATGTTTAAACAAAAACAGCTTTATGCCCTTCAATTCAGTGCCTCCACATTCTACACAATATACGATGCATATTTTAGCAATAAATAAAATGTATTAGTTTATAGTAACGGGAACAAACTGATCGTAATTATTGCCTTCTGTTATCAGTGAGGTGTTACAACAACGTGTGGCAACACGCAACAATGATCGCTAACTCGTAGAGGATAAAACATTTTGCAAATTACCATTATTGAAACCCCTTGCAAGAAAATGAAAATTGAATTTTTTCAATTGTCGAAAAATTAATGTTTTCAACAAACATGAGACCTGCATCATTTTCTTAAATGCCTTTAGACTATCCACCAATAAAATTTCAACAAAACCAATGGTGCCATTTGAGAAAAATATGTTTCAAAAAATTACAAATTGCCTATATTTTACTCAAAATGAAGTGAAAAGTCCTCACCTTTTGAAAAAATTGTACGTGACCTTATATCAAAATTATCTTTACGGAACAGGTTTAATTAAGAGAAAAAATCTCTTTAATATTTTAGCTGTAGGATGAGCCCGAAAAAATAATGAATCTTCGAAAAATCGGAGTATTCAACAAACAAGAGATGTGCACCACTCTCTTAAACGTCCTTCAGACTATCCAACAACAAAATAAATCAAAAACCAATGGAGCCATTTTTTTGGAAATTTTGAAATTGTCACAGGGGCTTCACGTTAAGTACCACCGCCCCAATAAAAATATCTTTTTCAAATTCAAGGGGTCATGCAATAAACCAGGTCAAGAGGGGAATATCAATTTCGGAGAAAATCGGCTGAACGGTTCGGAGTTCAATGCAAGGGTTGTTCACGAAGAGACAAACATACGTTTGCCCTCAATCAGGGCCCACAAAACATGGATTCTGGCTATAGCACATATTAGAGGGTTCTTCTAAATTTAGCAATGGGATTTAACCACTTCTTCATTACCAGCCAGGACCCTGTATTAAGATTTTTTCTGCCAAAAAATCAACAATTTTCATCGCACCGTTTCGTAACTCCCTCTACCATGGTAGCAAGAAAGTAAAAAAGTTTAATTGTCCCGGTATTTAAGCAAGATGGCCACTCATTTCCTGGAATATATTTCCCTGACTTTACCCAGTTTTCAAATGAACTTTTAATCTTCCTTCTTTTTCCTTAAAGAGATTTGTAATTTCATACTGTTTACAGAAGGTACTAAAGCTATTCTAATACAATTTCACTATGAAAATTAATAATGTTTTCAGACAAAATAAAAATTGCCCACACAGTAATGCTTACTAATGTTTTTAGGGCATAATATTCAGTTCTATAACTCTCTTAAAATTTCCTTCAACTTCTGATTCTTCTAGAAATTTTCTGATTCTTCCAAAACAATAAATTCTCTGATATTTATGTTCTCGTTACTGCATATGCAGTGTAGAAAAAGTATTGTAATGCTGCAGGAAAAATCTGCATATTCTCAACACAAACCTCTTAAATGTCAAGTCCTGGAGTAAAAGTGGATAAATCTTGTCTCTATATATAGAAAATTACTTCCTTACACAAGTTCTGAAGTCAGAATCCATGTTTTGTGTCCTTGATATCGAAAAATCGACTGACAGCAAAACATCTGCTTCTGTGCACAATACTTGGCCGTTCATTGTATGGCCCTTTGAATTTCAAACATATTCTAAGTTTTGTGGGGTACTTTACATGAAGCCTATGGAGCATTTTCAAAATTTTCTCAAAAATAGCTCCAAATTTTTTCTTTAAATTTCTTGTTAAAATAGAGTAAAATACATTTACAAAGAGGGCATAGGTTCAATTTTCACTATTAACTCAAAATTTATGAAAATTGCAAGTTTGAAATTCTTTAGGCGTATTCCAACAACCACGACATTATAGATTACGATTTTTCCTTCAAATGAAATTTGTTTTTGTAAACTAGTTCTTTCATTAATGGCATGTACACTTCTTTGAAAATTTTAATAGTTTCTGTGCAATATCAAGTCTGTGCAGTATCAATGTACTGTTTTAGATGTCAAACACTATTCTACTCTATTGCTTTGTTTTTTCAAAAATTACACAATTGTATTTTTTTTGACATCTCTCACATTATTTATTTACAGCATTTTGTGCACATAATTACAATTGTGAGGATGTGTTGCATGAAATGATGTTTTATAAAGTTTGTTAAAATCTTACATTTTCTGTGAAAATAAGCTCAAAATTCTGCGTTTTCAGAAATGCTCAAATGTCATTTTCACAAAAATGGCTCAAAATCTTTTCTTCAAACTTTTTGTATGGAAAGTGCAAAATACATAAGTTGACATAAAAATCATTTTGTGTATTCTTTCGTTTTTTCCTGTATAAGCTGCAAATGTAATAATTTTTTTAATATCTTTCATGATGTTAATATGCAAATTTCCAATGATTTGTATACATTATTGCATTTGTGAGCGGAAGTGCTTCAAACAACTTTCAATGAAGTTTTTCCAAAAATCAAAAGTTTTTGTGACAAGGCTTCAATTTCCCATTTACAGTAACGCTTAAATGATATTTTCTTAAAAAAGGCTAGACAGAATGAGGCTTCACTCTTTTTTAACAACCTTAAAGTAATATTTCAGTTTTACCATTAGAAAACTGAAAAATTGGGATAATTTAAAAAAAAAAAACTTTGGGAGGTGATAGATAGCAGCTGGCAAGATGGGGCACTGGATGGGGCACGGCCAAAACGCAAGCCCAGACTAAAGTAATTAGAAAACTAGAATGAGACAGTCTATGCCATTGTGTAGCACCACTAGTTCCAGGATGTGATCTACCTGTTGTACCACCTTACTCGTATTAGCAATCCATGATCATATTCCTTGCACTAACTACTGCAATGCACTGAGGTTTATTATAAAGAATACAAGAAAAGAAGACTAAAAGTTTAAAAAAGGATTCTCTAACCCTCCATTGCTTTGAAGCTGTTTTCATAAAAATAAATACTAATATTAATAAAAAGGTAAAATTGTGAAATCATTATATTACCATTACATCCACAAAGCTACTGGTTGCGATTGCTTCTTCTAATGCAGCTTCCACTTGATTTACCAGCTGTTCACCAACAGCACATGACTTCAACAGCAGCAATTTCTCACTTTGAAAATTTCTCTGGATAAATGATGTAGGGTCACCAATTCCCAATCTTCCCAAAGAATCATATTCTACAATATCAAAGTAACAATAGTGTTTGAAAGAAGATAAATTCAAAAAATAGCAATTTAAAAAAAATCATTATAATAACTAAAATATTTTCTTACCAAGGTAACCGTTCTGCCTGTAAAAATTATTAATCCAGTCATTTTGTGCTTTAGAATAAACAGATGGTATGTACAGGCTATTTCCAGATTGACTGCCAGTAATGACACCAGGAACTTGCTTTCTTTCCAATAAGCTATCAATAATACCTTTTGACCAGACAGTAATTGTCAGTTAGAATTTACTTTTAATAGTCAAAACGTGTATATAAATAGAAGAGATGAAGACTTATCTCTTTAATCAGGGAACTTTATGAAACACAGGGATCTACAAATAAACTTATTTGCACTTCAGAGATTCATATTATATAGGAAAAAAATTAAAATTACTCATTATCTGAGGTGTTGGAAGACACTAGAAATAACAAAAACAATTATCAATCACAATTTTAAAGACTTGCATGAGAAGATACGTTGCTGAACACCACTCTGTGACAAGAGATGGGCCACTGATGTAGGGCAAGTGGCAGCCATAAGCGCACCACGGAGGCAAGCCTTGTTTCGATGCAGAAAAGCATCTGTGAAGAACACTTGACGGTCTGTTGCATCCTGTTTTCCATGAATAGATTTTCCAAGATTTTTCTCTATAAGCTGTTAAACAAATTCAAATTATGAAAGAGATAAGTAAAATAAAAATAATCTCAATTACATGATGCTCACAGACAAGAGAAATTCTGGAGGTAGATCGTATTGTCGAGTTAACTCAGAGACAGTAATCTGTCCTTGCAGCATCAGTTTTTCATTTATTTCTTGAATCACACGATTGATGTACGATTTACCCAAAAGTTGACCAAGGACCAATTTCACATTCTTATTTTGATTTTCAATTTGGAGTACTTGAGCTGATATGTGACTCAAATCAACGTTCAGTATTTTGGAAAGCTCCACAATATCAACACGCCCTGAAAACATTTGAGCCAATAAATATAATACAACCTAATCTCAAATGATAAAAGAACACACAAGATTATTGGAAAATATTCTATGGGTCAATACAAATATTTATTTCATCAAATTTAATGTACGTTTATAGACTATGAAATTGTAGTCCTAAAAAATAGTTCAACGAGATATTACAATAAAGAAATTTTATTTTCATAACAAAACAATAGAACATAGAGCCACTAAAAAGTCATGATGGGCAATACCAGCAATTCTTACTAATTATTTAAAAAATATTTACGAATTACAGAATTTATAATGCAATTTGACATACCACCATGGACATACAATTCATCCTCAATTTCTCGACTTAATTGCTGTGGCGTAACATATTCTTTCCCATCTGTTGTAAACACAACATCTAATAATTTGTCTTCAATAAGCCTTGTAATGAGTTCGATGCAATTCCTTTCTGAAAGCCTAATAAAACATAATGCATTTCAGTAATGTATATTTTTATATTATTCACCCTACTTCTGCACAAAATTAACACACGAATCAATACATCTGATAAATATTAAATGAATAATTTCTGAAGAAAAAAAATAAAGCAATTCAAAAAATGGTGCTTTTATTACACTGTTATTACCTCTGAACCGTGGAACTAAGTTGAGCTCTCTGAAAGTCCGCGGCCAGTCGCTTCACTTCATCCCAATCAGCGGTCATGTCTCCTTATTTTAATCGACGACAAACACAGACATCGGTTTGACGGCCATATGGTATATACACGCTGTCTGCAAAGCACCCCGCTGTGTAATATACTCACTTGCAGCTCACTTGTGTCTCGGGTGAGCAAATTGCGGAGCCACGATTGTATGCGAAGACAGCCGTTGTCCGTGAGAGTCGCATGGCGGGAAATTTCAAACTTAAATTTGAAACGACTTATGACCACAAAACATATGTGATGGAAAACTGAATTTATAAACAAAATATTAATATTAATTAAATATTAACATTAATTATATAAATGATAATATAGCAGTATTGGGTACATTATTTTATGTTTTATATTTTTATAAATTGTTATCATTTCCACATCACTTGATTGAAGTTAATAAACTTTGACGCGATTTTTTAAAGTGATATCTCCAATCAGCGTACATCCACTATGTAAATAAATTAATTAATAAAAAATTAATTAAAATTAATTAATTAACAAATAAATTAATATATTTGATAATAAATAGTAATATAATAATGCATCCGGCAACGTACATGATGAAAACACCAAAATGTCAAAAATAAGAATTACCTTTTACGAAGTATATTTCATAATTTTGAAAGGGCTTAAAATGTTATTTGTATAACGATAGTGAAACGAGTAATGGTATAGTTCATATATATAGTAATTTTTATATTATGAGTAATAATATATTAATATTTAATTAAGTATAATTTTTCAGCAAAAAAATACAGAATATCAGCCATTTTTGTTACATAGATCTATATTAACAAGACTGGCAAATGATCTTTACAAACATGAATACTTTACACTGAGAGAAAATGCTACGAAATTGTTTACTATAAATATTTTGAGTACGGTTGTGTCTCGACATTTTTGAACTTTTCAGCGAAATTTGAACGTCAAAGAAGCGTTTGTCTCGGACAAAAAAAAAAAAAAAAAACCTACTACTTCCTCTATAGTTGTACCCACTTCACAAGAAAAATTAATTAATTAAAATGATGAATATTCTTCATTAAAATAATTGAATCGTGAACGTTTTACTGATATGTTATTACATTATTATTCATTCTCAAATATACTGTAATTTATTTGTATTTTACAGAGTGAATATAGGCCTATTGGGGACACCACTAAAAAAACGCGCCAAACGTTATCTACTTCAATCAAGTGGTGTGGAAATGATAACAATTTATAAAATAATATAATTAATACTGCTAATTAATTGTGATTCTTATTTTCATAATTTTATTCTTTTGCCAATTTGAAAAGATTCAATTAATATTATTAACATAAATTATATTAACATTTATATAATTCATGTTAATATTTAATTAATATTCATATATTAATATTTCGTTTATGAATTCAGGAAAAATGCTAACAATTTATAAAAACATACAATAATATAATTAATACTGCTAATTTATTGTAATTCGTATATTCATTATTTTATTCTTTTGCCCATTCCAAAAGATTTATTAATAGTGTTTAATAATAGTGTTTTCCATCAAATATGTTTTGTGGTCGCCTCACATTTACGTTTGAAATTTCCCGCCATGTGACACTCACTGACAGCGACTCTGCTCTCTTCGCCTACAATCGTGGCTCCGCAATTTGCTCTCTCGAGACACAAGTAATATACCCTCTAGTGTACAAACACAAAATGATTACACAGAGCGTTCAAAAAGACTACGCAGGGGCCACTCCACCCAAAAAGTATTTATGCGGAGAGTCTTTTTGAATGCACTGTATATTATGGAAACGAAAGATAAAACTCTTGACGTTCCTATTCTACCGATTCAATTCCGGTATCGATTCTTTTCTTTTGCTTCCTATAGAATCGGTATTCGATTCCTTCACTTCCGATTCTTGATGGAATCGATTGCAAAAGGCATAGAGTAGAGATACAATATATCTCTAGAGATATATAGAGATGTCTAGAGATATATCTCTACTCTACGGCAAAAGGCCAGAATAGAATCCAATAACTAGGGAGTTTGTGTCACCTCAAACGTTCAAGCACTATCGATCCTCTGCGCATGTGCACTAAAGTTTCGTATCACTTTAGTGCATCTACGCATGCGTAGAAAATCGATAGTGCTGAACGCTATGGCGTGCACCATAGAGGAGAGATACAACTAGAGTGCGCGTGAACCTACTGCGCAGGTTTCAACATGCGGTGGCCGCAAGTCACGTGACTTTGGGACACCGGCAGCTTGTTTTGCCTTGTATTGTGTGTACTTTTGCGTGCTGTTTGTTATTTCTGGTGCTACAGCGTAATTATTTGGGGGCCTACAAGTTTAGCTAGGATCATCTGGAAATGTTTTTCAGCTGCATACGAAGCAAAGGCGGATTCAACAATAATCCTACTGCTAAGCAAATTGCCTGGGCTTACAAGCGATTACTGATTCATCACCAGATTTCTTCTTCTGCCTTCGCGAATTGTGTTCCTCAGGATTAAAAAACTATATTAAATGTTAGTTCACGTCAGTATGCAAGTGTGTCAAGTGAATGATCCTTAACTGTGCATTCAGGTGCCAATTGACCATATGTACTTGCCATCAGTAGACAATCTTCAAACTAGATTGTCTCCCTATGTCGTGGACATTGTAACGTATATTAGAGGATTTGTAAGGAAATTTATCTTGGTTGTGTTGACTGTAAGATAGTTCTTTGCCGTACTGATAGTGACGAAGACTCATATTCCTTCATTCAGAGGAAGGATGATCGTGGGCTGAAATACCCTTCTGTAGATGTTCTGCAAAATAACAGAAGCAGAAGTAAGAATACTTCAAGGGAGAGGTGACAGTTTTCAAATAGCAGCTTACACTACAATTGTAAATAGAAGTTTGAGAGAATTTGTAAATAATTCCGTTTTTTGTAATTTAACTTATCATATTATTGGTTAAGAGGCCATACTGAATCGTAGAATGTATGTGATTAAGGCAATATTATTTAAATGTATTCAAATTAGATTAAAACATATAGATAGAGAAAAGACTGAAATTTACCAGAAAAATAGAATTAGATCAATTAATAATAAAATTATTTTATTTAGAGGGCATTAATGTGTATGTATTTATTGGTGTTAGTAGTATATATTATGTATTTACAGGTGTAAGTTATGTTGGTAGTGTTAGTAGTATATTAGTGTTTATGGTTTGTATGACTAAATGAGTTTAAATGTAGCTTCACTATGCGTACGTTTTGTTGAGCATTCCTGTTGCTTTTAGAGGTAGGAGTAAAGCCAATGTTATAATACTGTTTTGACAGTAATACAAAAAAAATAAAACCTGCTGATTGTTTATCGATGCAAATAAGTTTTGTATAACTTGGGAGGGAAAATATCTAATGGCTATAGTTGAAATGTTGGGAAGAGATTTTTGAGCTCAAGAAAAGTGTGCAGATGGTACTTCTCCTCCGTATGTCACATACAGTATTTAATGTTTTTAACTAAATAAATTAAAATATATATGAAAATAAAAGTTTGTTTCTCCCCTCTACAAATCCTTGAAATATTTTGATAACTTGCTGTTATATGTCTGATGTGGATTATCAATAGCAGAATGTCTAGCATTGAGTAGTAACAGAAACTTGGATTAATGCCTCCCATGGAGTTAAATAAAAAATATTTGTAAAATAAATTATTTTCCTGTGTAATAGAACTTGTAAAACAGGTGTAGTGGGGTACGCGGTTAAGAGTGACAAGTTGGACAAAAATTGGAACTTTCATGCACTTAATTAAATAGAGCAGAATAACTTATAATAACTTTTCTGCTATAAGCAGCATTCGTAGGGCTGTGTAATAAATGAGAAAATAACGCTTGAGTGAAGCGTGTTAGACGCACGTATTAAAAGAAATCATTTAGTACGAGGCGGCTGTATAGCAGATGCCTCCCAGCTATCCCAAAGTCACGTGACTCGGGCGCGAGAGATGTTGATACCCAGCCAGGCCTTCTGCGCAGCCTGGCGCGCACTCTAGTTGTATCTCTCTTCTATGGCGTGCACAAACTTCCTACTACGTTCGACTTTTTTGAAAAATATTTGCATATTCCTGCGGTTTTGTTGTATTTTTCAGGTTTTTTTTTCGTTGCCTTTCTCATTAATGTAGTTATTACTTTATTATTAGTGAAGTCCATATTGTGTTTCAATTTTACCCTCACCATGTCTCTACCTTCCGCATTGTTCAAACCAAACTTCTTGGTTCAAATTACATTTTTAGAGTCTCAATTTGAAAGAAAGAAAAATCCGGTCTGGATCGCATTTTGTGAAGTTGTGTTTCTTTGAATCCTTTATAATGTCGTTGATTAGTTGTTCATGCTATTGTTGATGATATAATATATTATTTTTTTATTAATGTTCTATTAATATATTGTTTCATTCATACATTCTGTTACATTATTTCAATTGTATTATTTCATTAATAATATTTTTCGGTTACGTAGTTAACTATTGTTATTAAAATTTTATTAATGAAAACCAGGTTGTGTTTTATTAAATAGTAATTGCTCGATTTCGATATCGATACCTTCATTGAACGGTGTTTTCATTTTATTCATTACGGAATCCATTCTTTTCTTTCAATCATGGAATAGCGATATCCTCCTCTATGCTCTATGCTTTCAATTTGATTCCGAAATAGGTCCCAACTTTTCGATACTGGGTTCGATTCCAGAATTGATTCTTTTACAGATATCATAGTGACCACTGACGTCTCTAGTGACGTCATTAGCTACAAGTTCACGTAAGCCCCCGGTGAGGAGTTACAATCGCTAACACCCGCAATTTTCAAAATTGTCATTAGAAACCTATCTATTAATATAATCATTCTAATTGACTTTGTTAAAGCTGGGCAACCAATACAAAACCAATTTGAAAAAATGATTAGGCGTTTAACGTACTTTAAGAAGTGGGTAGTATTGTACGCCTGAAGAAATTAATAAAAAATACACGGTTATTTATTTTACGTTATTTTAATCACTAAGTATTTTTATTACAATCCAAAAAGCACTATTTTACAAAACATTATTGTTGGAAAATGAATATAATTGAAATCCTACCTGAAACAAAACATTTGAAAATACTCTTAGAAACGTTCCGGGGTAGGATGGTAGCTGGGAAGAGTATGTGGCAAGTCCAAAAAGACCCAGACCAAAGAAAATAGAAAACTAACTAGTACGAGAAAGTCTGTAGCATTCAATAGCACCACTAGTTTGGAAAAATTGACGGTTACTCGAGTACACCAAGAGCTAATATACTTCCATTAAATGCAAATTTTGCACTTGTAGTTGTAACGTATGTAGTTGATGTACGTACGGAATCTATCATCGGTGCCGGCTGCCGGATGTAGGTACGTAATCTGTGGGCGTAGGCAGACTGAGCGATTGCCCGGGAGCATGTTTCCACATTTTACTACTCTTGAATGGGGTTATTTTAGAGATCTCTGATTGGCCAGAGATAGTAGTGCACGAAACGTCTCTCTCAGCCATATACTCTTTCAAGAGACAGACTGTGGACAGCTGGTGCATTCGAAAAGATTAGTGGTACGTCGCTTATGAGAATATTTGTGAGGTTTATGAAGTTTGGTGAATGTATAAAAGAGTTTGGAGCTGAATTTTCAACTGCGAAGTGTGAAATAAATGAGAGACACTTTGCAACCCATTTTGTAAACATTGAAATGGAAAGAGAAGAGAGGTGTGGTGGTTATCAGATGCATTTTCTGATTAAACATGTTAATTGTTAAATTAACATGTTTGCACAATTTATTTTTTCTCAAAATCAATATTAAATTAATCGTTTTTGACCGCTTGTCATTTCGACATTTGTTTATAAACATTTTTATTTAAAAAAAAGTCTACTATCGCCCTACATCGAGTGTGCCAATCGGACCTCATTTCACTTCGCCTATTCAATATTGAAACGTAAATACCGTAGTATTAATTCGTGCGCGTGTCAATTTGATAATTTTACTTCCCAACGTATTACCTTACCTTAACCTAGTTACACGAAATGTTACATTTTTACCATGCTGGCACATCAACTACTTTGTTTTTATTTTATATTATGTTTTCTTTTGTCATAATTTGAATATTTACCAGCAGAAACGACGCGATCATGATAAACTGTATATTCTGCCGGTTCGGTAGCCCGTCTGTACAGCATCTCGGGACTGTAAATGTACATAGGTTGTGAATTATTTCGATTTCAAAAAATATGTTCGGGGATACCTCTTACTATTCAGCAATAACAACGCTTACTGCTGGATCTATTTCACATAACTGTATTATGTAAAACATACATACACTAACACATTTTTCAATCAGACAACGATGAAGAATACAAATTTCAAACAAAGTTTGTATTTATAACATTTAATTCAATCTGATTATTCTGAATCTCAAATTATTCTTATTATCCCGCCCTTAATGCATGCATTACCATCGTTTCTCCCAAAGTTAATTTAATCTGAGCAAATGCTGAAATGACTCTATGTTTTGCTTCTGGACGTAAATGTATTGTAACGAATATTGCATCACCTGCCGGATTCACTGCGCGCGGATTGCGTCATCTGCCGGCACCCCTTCCCTTCCCACCGAACCAACACCACCTAGATATACAGAGTATCTAGGTGGTGT